CTGCAAGCAAGTCTACGACAATAGGTGTATCGATCTTTTTTCTTCGATTTTTCGACAAGGGGTATTAATAAAACATTTCCTGTGCCATTATTGTCAATTTGTAACGGCCATTGTCGGCACTGAAGGCATAGCAATACCCTACTTACCAACGTTGTACATTAAGGTATAGATGCAAGTTAGTGGGCGGGTTAGTTTTTTTTTTGCTTTTTCTTACCCAGTCAGTCTTTGCTAGATAGTGTTAAAATTTCGGAGCATTGTCAATGCTGGAACATACTTGTAAGTTGGTAAAAAAAGCCGCGCGACTGCTCCCGTGACTCCAGAGGGAGCCATTTATTGAAATCAAATTTTGGTTTGTCGCTATTGTTGCTAGGAAAGCATTCTTGTTTTAGTTCCAAACAATACTCATTTACTAGACCCTTTTTTTCACAACAATACCCATCTACAAGGAGAGGATTGTTTTTTTCAGAGCTAGGTCGTTTTTATATGATTCATATAAAGTGAAGAGCACAACGCCTTCCCCCTCACCATTTGAAAATGCTACTTTTTAAGCAGATTTTCAGTTTTTTAAGCTGCGCCATTCACCATGGTCACTCTATCGAATGAGCTAAGCGGTTGGTGTCGAAAGCAACTTTGGGTGCGATTTCTACAGGTTATTGCCTATACAAATAGAGTTACGTAACACACGTCATTATGACAACACTTCAAAAAACACCTAAAACTCACCAAATTCACAGAATTTAATGACAAAACTCATAAATTTACATGTATAAGTAATTATACAAAACGTGTGTCATTTAATTCGCTTGTGTTGGAATTTGTGCGGTTTTAAATTCTCTCCTAAAGTAACGAAGAACGGTGCTACGAAACATACTGTTACATCACTATGTTTTTTGGAAATTTACAATAAACAACAAACTATAAACCTGTAATATTATGAAAAAATGTTTATATTTTTGTATAAACATAAGAAAATTAAGTAGGCGCCTCTCATACTATAAACGTACATGCAACATACTCGCTATCATGATTATGTCCTTGTCAATACCACTTCTAGTACCTGATAAAAAAAACTCGCTTATTGACTTTCAAAATTGCATAAGTAGATTTAAATAAAATACACAGTTATAATTGAACAGAAACCATTCTGATTGATTTATTATTATTATTAGTGATAAGAATACAAAATAATGGTGTGAATGTAACTGTACTGGTTCAAATTTGTCTTGAATATTCTCCTGAAACAAAAAATTGAATTGATATTGTTAATATGAATAAGACCATCACAATGTCCTTGCGTAAAACAAAATTCAAAATTAGACATTATACTCGTAAAATAAAGTATACGATACACTTTTGTTAACAATTTTAACGGTGTTCCAATAAGAATTCATTGGTCAAATTTTCACAGAATGTTCTTTAGATAAAAATCTATATAAAAAACGAAAAAAACTATTTTTGATTGAAATTCACAAATAAACTGCATCTCTACCTTAAATAATTAGTGCATGGATACTCACTACAAAAGCTGAATAACTGAGACGAATACAGTGATTATAGAGGTCGTCATAGCGACAAGTGATGAAGCTCCATCTGTCTCGGATTCTATTGACAAAAATGACAAAAATAAACTATAGTAAGAATATAATAAGACGCAAAAATATGACTTATGTTTTCAGAAATTCCCCCGGCCGCGATATACCGTTAGTCGTGCATGTGTATGCGTTCGTTTATACTTTGTATGCGATGATGCATGTGCCGTGAAACCTGTAGGTGCGTTGTAATGTGATATGTGTAGTAATGCATTTGTGATGTGGGCAGGCGATGCGTTCATGTGATCCACGTAGATGGGGGTATGACTGTGCATATATTATATTGTGATCCGTATGAATGGCTATATCGCTATGAATAGGTGATATTGTGATCCATTTGATATGGTGGTGCATATGTGATACGGTGATCCATGTGGTGGCGGTATGGTGATACATATGTGATATGGTGATCCATGTGGTGACGGTATGGTGATACATATGTGATATGGTGATCCGTGTGGTGGCGGTATGGTGATACATATGTGATATGGTGATCCATGTGTTGGCGGTATGGTGATACATATGTGATATGGTGATCCATGTGGTGGCGGTATAGTGATACATATGTGATATGGTGATCCATGTGGTGACGGTATGGTGATACATATGTGATATGGTGATCCATGTGGTGACGGTATGGTGATACATGTATGATATTGTCATCCTTGTGGTGGCGGTATAGTGATACATATGTGATATTGTGATCCGTATGGGTGGCGGTATGGCGATGCATAGGTGATATTGTGATCCATTTGGTATGGTGGTGCATATGTGATACAGTGATCTATATAGATGAGCGATGCGATATGATACATATGTGATATGGTGATCCATGTGGTGGCGGTATGGTGATACATGTATGATATTGTCATCCTTGTGGTGGCGATATGGTGATACATATATGATATTGTCATCCATGTGGTGGCGGTATGGTGATACATATGTTATATGGTGATCCATGTGGTGGCGGTATGGTGATACATATGTGATATGGTGATCCATGTGAGTGGGTGATGCGTCGATACGTATGTGATATAATATAGGTGGGTAGTGGTACATATGTGTTGTGGCGACATATATGCGGTTTGGTGGCGCATTTTTTATGCAGCGATATCAGTGAGAAGCTCCGAGCTGATGTGTAGCTGAGATGTTCGGGATGATTGTGAGGCGGTCATGTGTATGTCAGGTGGTGATACCTCTGTGGTTATGTGTTAAACTAGACTTTTTTTGATCATATCATAAAATAAATCAGCAGCATTCCAGACTTGAAGGTATATTTCAAAGCCTGGCGTCGTAGCAAATGACAATATTTAGTGATTTGAATGGAGTACACCTGTTACGTACCCATGTGAAATGTACAGTTCATATCAGTAGCAAAACAGCCACGCTGGATGATATCACACCCAAATAGAACGCGTGTGGCCAGAACCCTGGATATACCAAGTACACAGTTATGCGAAGATTAAATTACAAATCTTATTATAGTTTTTTTTTTTTTTTTTTTTACAGAAATTAGCTTTTTCTGCTGAATGTTTATACATATAGAAATAAAAAAAATAAAAATCGATACCACATCCATTACCCATGGCCAAGTTTAATTTAATTTTTGTAAACGCTTCAAATTTCCCTGGGAAATTAAAATGGTTTCACTGAACATAGAGACTGAATACGAGGCGAAATATAATCAAAATACAATACAATACAATACAATACAATACAATACAATACGATACAATACAATACAATACAATACAATTAAAAAACTACTTCTAAATACAGTGAAACACATCTTTATACAAATGCAACCCTACAAACAGTAAGTTGAAAACTAGGACACCTAAAAAAATGAAATGCTGGTGGTGACAACGAGTAGATCAAACACAAAATGATGATTATACTACGTCGACAAGAGGTATTGGTGTCTCATAAACAAGTTTTTTTTTATATATAATGTTCACGTAGTGTTTTCATTGTCCGTTATCATTATAAATTTGTTTTCTTCTGTCAGATTTGTGAACTCGTTTATTTGTTTTCCGGCTACATCATATTTTTTTCCTGATTGTTGTAAAAGAACGTGTTTTGACAAAATGTTATTTTTACAAATTTTATTTCTTTGTTCTTATGAAGGATGAATAATTGTTCTACTTTTTCTGAAATTTTCTTTGTTTAGTTCTTGTAATTGTCTGTACCAAATAATTGCGTTTTGTTAGTCTTCTCTAGTTATTACGAAATGTCACTTACTGTTTAGTTTAATAAAGCTGCTTCATTGACAAGTTCAATTACTCATTCATAGTATTTAAACATTTTTCTTTTAATATAAATAAATATATAGGAAATTGAGTCAATGCTCCATTTAATCCTATTATGTAAGGTTTTGCCTCACATCTCAATATAATCGTAAAAGCTGTAGTTGATTTGTAAGACCGCTCGTCCACTCAAATATCGCTGCTTTATAATAGTATTGGCTACGTAATTGCTGCACGAGTTTGTAAATATTTAGCTGTAATAATGTTCAACGTGACTTTGTTAACTCCTGTGTGTTAGTTATTTGTATATTTGAATATTTGCCGTACTTTAAATTATTGATCAAATAATCCCATTTGAAGTGTTCTTCTTAGTGGCATACCTTGAAAAGCCTGTCAAAAAACTGTTGTCATAACTCATATATTAAAAACTAAACCATAGTCTGGTAAATCGCAAAGACTTTCCATCCAAGCAAATAAATATAAATAGATTTTTGTTTTAATCTGGTGCCAACACTTTAAGCAACATGACTATACAGTTTGTTAATTTTGCAGATTTGCAATTTGCCATAAGTTACATCGTGCCGTAATTTTGCGGTATTGCACTGGGTATTTTCATCCTGCCATATTAGGAAATACGAATTCAAAATATGGAGCGATTGCGTGCGTAAGCGTTCTCTAAAAATAAAAACAAACAAGGCCCACAGGGTTTGACCGGACTCTACATAGCGAAGTTCACTAAATCTGAGTGTTCTAAACTTGTTGGATTTTGGTGTTCTTATGATGTATCCTTGGGAAGAAAAGATGTATAATAAGGTTATTACGAGAAAACCGCAAAGTATGCACTCAGACAGTACGCCGTCGCATCGACCCCCCGCTGCGCGTCGGTCGATACTCCCGCTTCGTGCATACTCATATTACTTTGAAATGTCATTTTCGTATATACTTCCATAATTTATCAATGATCTATTCTTGTTTTTTATCAATCATTTTTTTTCAGACACCCTGTACTCAAATAAATTCATCGAAGTTGAATTATAATAAAGCGCTTATTTCTTTGTTCAGACTCGAATACAAAATGTATAACGTAATAACAACAACATTATTAAAATGAGTCCCGAAACCGAGTCTCCTTGAATGAAAGTTGGCCATATTTTACCAAAATATCGACTAAGTAGATTCTAGATAAATTCTACGCTATATATTCATATAATACATGTACGTTAACTTATAGACAATGTGATTGACATATCGTTATATATTATTATATACTGATTTTGAGATTGTATATCCTAAATAATGTTCATATATGCGGACAGTTCTGGGATAAAGATGTGGGTTTTAATTTCGAGTACAACTTGACTCTTAACTTTAGAACAGAAAGTTGATAATGGATTTGTAGATTCAATGTGTCAAGCAATATACTAGTAATGTACCTACCCGTGTCAACTATTCCGAGTCTTTCGCCGAGTCTGTCGCAATCAATCTCATCAATCGTTATTTGAAGTTCACACATTTTCATCTGCATCACACATCTGTTAGGGTATTCTTGACCCTCCTTGTCCTTTTCATCAAGATATCCACAAACTGGATCATAGTTCTGAGGACAAACTTCACCGCACTTACAGACTGAGTGGGTTCCCTCGTTGACGCACAACTCACCCGGGTGTTTACACTCGTGGTTATCACACGGATCTGTCAGTAGTGAAACGTATACAATAAGCCAACGCTGATCACGGGAGGATGTGTAAATGACCGCGTGAATGCGACCATGGGGTTTAGGTGACGCCACTCGCGACAATTTTGTCTTTTGGTGACGCAAAAATTCGCTGTCATTTCCACTTCCGTGGTCGAGTGGATACCCCGGGGGCAGTTGATACGTAGCTGGGTAGGGAGTTGCCCTGAGTGCTCAAAAGTGTGAGCATTTTTATACCTGGATAGTGACAAAATCTATACCCATATTTATGCAAAAGTACCATTGCTGTCATCACTGTTTATTCCAAATAAAACAGTTACCTATGAATTTGAGGCCGGGATCTGAGGTGGAGATATTCGCTTATATACGAACCCATAAGTATACCAAATCGGAAAAATATTACCGATATTCATACCTATCTTGACCAGAAATAAGACCTATACTTATACCAAATATACAAAAACGAGACCCATTTCAGGGGCACGTCCCCATTAGGCAATGTACCCCCCCCCCCGGTGAATACACAGTTTCATTGTGGGCGTCTCGGAGTATCAATATGGTTCACTCCCACCCAAAATCCAGGCGTGTACTCCCGGGGGGGGGGGGTGATTGCACAAAATATCACGTACCTTCACTTTTTGGCTCCACGCAGTATGTTCCGGCGCATGCGTTCTGACAGCATCTATCCGTTTCTGTAGCACAGTCCGCGTCGTTCTCACATTCACGCGTGCACGCACCTTCGTAGTCTGGGATAATCAATGGACAATGGCCCTCTCTCACTAAAAAAACATTAGTTAAGTTACACATTAAATATGTAACATAAAAGTGTCTTTAACTATCTAACCGAGTTGTCTTGAAAGCTGAATGTAATAGTAATCGGTGGAATAGTTCGTTCCCTTGTATGCGGTGTATGACATATACCGCCCTCTACGAGATGCGTTCATATCTCTCCCGATTTGATCAATTTATTCAACTGAAACTCAATCTGATTACAATCTGATATGGGTATAACAATTTCACGTATACTTGACAAAGAAAAGTGAAAACAGAATCTAAAATATACCAACATCATCGTGAAAAAAAAATGTAGCTCAAAACTATGGTTCGGTGCAATAAAAACCCAGTGTCGATTACTGCAGGTCGGTTTATTTGCATTTGTTTTTTTGTTTTTTTTGTTTTTGCTTATAACTTGCCACCATTTCATGTAAAATCGGTAATTACTTGCGGAGACCCCCCCCCTATTTTCTCCGAGTCGTACATTGTCGTGTTTGTGACTGCTGACGCATATACATGCATTTTTGGTGCCCACTCGATACCATGGTTCAATCTGTAACTACGATAAACCAATCTGTTTTAAATTTACGGTGTACGAGCTTCCGTCGTCGTAATTGAGCCGTGTCAGAAACAAGATGGCACAATGACTCATGCCTGAACTAATTTAGTCGTGATAGATAAAATTGTACATTGCACCCAGACACTACTTAGGCTATATTTATACTGTGACTTGAAATACATACATCACTGTGTGTGTAAATGTTTGTAATTACCATGCTTAACTTAATTATTAACAAACATATATTGGTGGTTTCAACTTGTGTTGAACTAAATAGTTAGTTTTCTGACACATCCATGTAAGTTTTTCACGAATTCAACACAGAAAACTCTGACACAATACTAAGCACGATGCTCAACATAGAATTGCATCGATTCCAATTCAACTTACCGATTGTCATCCACCGCTGTCGTAACAGCGGTCGAAAATTTAAATATGTCCTTTCAACTGTCTGTTAGGACCCACAAAACAGCGATTGGACCCTGCTTACCTTTTTGGCTTTGAACAACGGAACAAAATACCAATGCTAACAGCGACAGTGTAAATGTTGGCGATGTCATGATAGATGTGCGTCGTATCGATTGGATGTATCTTCCGATGAATGTACTACTAGTCCACTTTCAAGAGTCTACCTTCGTGAGCAGCATGCAGTTCTCCCTTATATAGGCTAAAATTGTTGGGACCAGTTGGCGCTCTTGACAATTTCGTCATTTCCGGTGATAATGTCATTATGGAAGGTGTGTTAGTATGGTAAATTAATAACTAGACGTTTCAAAGGTGGTAAATAATGCAGCCACCTAATCGTACATTGTTTAGTTGAACTTTGTCAGAGAGGATGATAAGACGATTCCCGCCATACATTAACGCCCGGATGTATAGGCCTGCCAGTGTATCATATCATTATCATATCATATCATTATCATATACATAGTTAGCACAACGCATGTTTCGAGCGTTTTAATGGAGAAACGGGATAAATTGGCCAATGTCTTTAAAACTACAAACTGTGACCCAGAATTATTGACGTGGTCACGTAAGAACACCATACTATGACATCATTAAATCAGTTTCCAAATCCGGTTATAAATGGATACTTTAAACTAAACTAAACACACACACACGCATCGTATTAGCATAAAAAACTGCTAAAACATCACCAATTATATCGCAAACATCTGTTATATGATAAATTATATACACTATGCATGTAACAAAAATGCAGTGAATGAAATAGTTTTGAATCATAGATCACGTTGGCAAGAAGGTGATATCGGGCGGGACATTACCCAGACTAACTTAAGTCGGCCAATTTTGAGTGCAGATTCTGAAAATACAATGTTTCACGTGGATACAAGCGCGTTGATCCTCAGTTTAAGTTTAAAATTTTGTTTTTGTTATATTATTGCAAAACACCTTTCTTATGAAGTTAGGGAAATAATGCCCGTGGGACTATTAGGGGGGCAATTTAGCGTTGCTGATACATGTGTTTACGGGTGCATTTAGCTTCGATTTTATTTTAAAACCTCATTTCCGTTAAATCAACGTAAAAACAGTATTTCAGTAGTTGAGGGATCGTCTAAGGTGAGGGCAACTTTATATGCTCAATTTGAAGAGTGTTGATTCAGAAAATGTATATTACACAGGCGTTCAAAAGTTCGAGTAAACTAGATTTCAACTTAAAGCCTCGGTTTCGGAAAGCCTCGTTTTCGGCAAGTTATATTAAAACAAAACTAGTGAGGGATCAGGTGTCACGCGGGAGTGAGCTTTTGCAGACAAACCTTTTCTGTTCATGTTCAATGTTGCTAATTTCATTTGTGAAATCAAACATTTCTCTTTGTCAAATATGATATAGCATACGTTTTAGTTGATATCGACAACAAACTATGTGGGTGGGTAAAATTTATTGGACTCCAGACCGAGTTTATTGCGTAAAAACTGCCTCCTACTGCATTTTACCAGTGTACTGTAATCAAGTCAACACGGTGAGCATTGTTTCCCAAATATGGGATTGTTTTTTACGAGTAATCTCAAAGTACAGCATAGAAATGAATGAATGTATGAAGTCATAAACATTACATCGTAGTTAAGTCAACATATTGGGAATTGACTCCAATTACAACTGTTACACGTTATAGTTGCCATTCCGATGACGATATGGAAAATGTACACTCATATAATTTATGTTAGTTCTTTTCTTTTTCTTTAAAGGCAAGTTAATTCTGTCCGTGTGCTTATCAATACGCACAGAACAGGAGGACAAAGAGGTGCCATCTCATGAGAACAATTACCAGACAAATTTTTTTGGGTAATTAGAGGGGTGCCGATTCTTAAAATATATAGGCTCTTACTAAAATACCTAATACAAATATTGCATAATCAGTCAACTTTTACAGTATAACGGCTGTATGTATATTCTCAGCATTTTTTTCATAGTTTGATTAACAAATACTTTATTTTTATGGATTTCGTGACAGAGAATCTTGTATACAATAAGCCAGACAGGCTGTTAGACTGCCATTTTGTTTTTGTCATTATGCAAATGGAGGTCAAAGGTTATACTTTGCTGCAGTAACTAATAAATACACGGCTGCCATTATATACCGGCTGCCATTACTGTATTAATATGAAACATTGTCTCGAAAAATAGTACGGTACCGGTGAACCCCAACTTTGTTTACGTCACTATTCCTGTATTATGCTAATACATAACATAAGTATAAGATTTTAACAAATTCTGGGTATTTTAATTTATTACTAGGTTTTCAACTTAAAGAGCGGTGGTCGTCGCGCCGCACATGTGCGACATTGTTGAGAAACATTGATTTCCCACAATACAATGCAATCTTCTAATGAATAACGAGTACGAGTTTTGACCTGTGAGCGACTTGAACTAATTAAAACCAGTGACTCCTTCGATACTTTCCAATCACCTGAAAATACCTAATTAAAACTTGGTAACGTCTCAGTTTGTACTCGTTAGTGTCTGCGCAACAATACAAGTGAACATCTTTGTTAATTATGAGACTCATATCTCGCGCATGCGTGGCGCGACGACCACCACCCTTTAAATCGTTCTGTCAATTATATATTCCGGATTCCAAACGACAGTATCTCTCCGCTCCATCAGTAATTAGTGAAGTCGTCAACTTCAATAAGATTGAAGACAGGGCAAGATGAAAAAAAAATGTTAAATCACAGTCTCAACTGTGGAGGGACTGAGGTTAAATCAATGTTTTGCATTCTTTTCGGAGGATGTCCAGCGAACGGGGTATAACTCGTATATAACTCGTCTGCTGTCTTCAACAGTTAGATTTTATTTTAATGTTGTCGTATCACGAATTATAAAAGACTAAAAAACATATTTCTTATGATTTAGGTATTACTTGTTAAAGCAACTAAATTGAATATTCATCGATAAAAAATTACTGCCGGCCCCCACCCATTGTGGCTTTGGAAAATCTGCTGACCCCTTTTGTTTTGTCCCTCTCAGGAATAATAAATGGTCATACCCTTACTAGAGGGTCCCTTTGAAACGCTATTTCCGCATTCTGAGGGGCAAATTTCAAGGGTTTCGGCTTGATTTTGGACGTGCGACGCCCCCAACATCTTTTTCGAGGGGGCGACCCTCCTCTGCCCCCTGTCCCGTAGCCACTGTGAAGAGTGGGGTGAAATTATGGGTCATTGCAATATTAAAGATATTTTGAAAAAAGAAAGTGTAGTTCATGGTATGGAAATACTTAATAGAAAACAGTTTGATTGTGGAGTGCGTGTGCAGGGTAAAATTACCCGGTACAGAAACTGAGAAACTGACAAATGTGTTACAACAGCATTAGATCTGGTTCATTTCGTTTTGGCGGGTCCCGTTGAGCCAACTACAAAAGATGGTTTTCGATATGCATCGGGTTGTGTTGATGAATATTCAGGTGTCATCATAATTACCTAATAATACCTTTTGAGGCGAAACATCAGGGAGGGGAGTTTATGTCTTGCGTGTTTTACTTCTTCTGGTAAGCAATCGTACTAAATATGGACGACCAGCTCCATATTTTCCTCACCAAAACGGTACAACGGAGTGATCATGGCGTTCTATTTTTATGCGATGGCAAGATGCCTGTTGTTACAACCAGGGTACCAACTATTTCTGTGGCCCAATGCAGTTATTGCTTCAGCCTATACTCGAAATCGTTGTTACAGCCCAATTTACAGGAGAAAATAACATTGCGAATATGCTAACATTTGGTAGCTCTTTTTATGCATATGTGCAAAATCCTAAGAAATTAGATGAATGAAAAGAGTATATATGTTGGTTATGATTGGGATAGCCCAGCAAATTTGATATATTTTTCTCATAATAAGAATGTAAGAATAATAAGCTTCACTAAAAACCCTGTACAAGGTTGTTATAATACTGAAAATGCAGAATCTAATTATGTGATAAATGATGAGTGTATGGAGATAGGGAACAATAGTGATGGAATATATTTTCTTGCCACTATTGATGCTAGCGGTGTTATAAATGTAGATTCTCATCCCCAAGATTTTATCCTGATAAATATGTTGGTAGATACCAGGATTTACCTGATTGTGATAGGTCAGATGACTGGCAAAAGGCTATGGAAATTGAAATGAGTGCACTGACTGAGAATGATGCGTTTGAGTTGACCACACTGCCACTAGAGGGGGCACTGTATGTATGCTGTAAAATTGGATCCAAATAAAAATAAGGCCAGGTTTGTGACTAAGGGCTATTCACAGACACCCAATATAGATTAATAGGAAGCATTCTCTCCCACCGCCTGCAATACAACCAAAATTACCAGTTATTGTTTCGTAATTATACGTTTAAGTCAACACTAATGTAATTACATTATTTATATATCATTATCACATCATTTTGGAATCATTTACTTATTTAAACATTATTAGACTATTTCATATTTCAATAATATTTCTGAATTATCATTACATTATGTTGTCATTATTCACTTATTTACACATTATTACTATATTATTATTTTTTGGCTTTTATTTATATATTAATAATTTTGCGAGTATTCACTTATCATATTATTGTGTAATTATTTCACAATTATTTGCTTATTTCAATATTATTTCTACATCATCATTAGATTATGTTGTCATTATTTACTTATTTAGACATTATTATATTATTGTGTAATTATTTGACCCTTAATTTATATATTATCATCACAATATTTGCAATTATTTATTTATTTCTACATTAATATTTTAAACCAATGTATACTCCTTGTGACAAGTAAACATGTTTTGTAATGACCCAGCTGAGCCTGCTAATGCAAGAATATACAAACAAATAGTTGGCAGTTTGATTTATGCAATGACAGCAACTAGACCTGATCTTTGTTACATAGTCACAAAGCTGTTACAATATTTGGAAAATCCAACTTCTAACCACATGGTAATGGCTAAACATGTCTTAAGGTATGTGAAAGGTACCACTGATCAATGATCATTCAGAAAGTCATGACCCACTCATTTTGATTGGTTTTTGTGACGCCGATTGGGCAAATCAGAGAACAAGAAAAGCATTACAGGGTATGGTTTTAAAACTCTAGTGGGTCCCTTTAATTTCTTGGAAGTCAAGGATACAAGCTATTGTAGCTTTATCTACATGTGGAGCATGAGTATCCTCGGGGGCGGAGCTACGTCACAAGACGTTCTACGTTGCTAAGACGCGCACCACTGCACCATGCATTTCTATGGGCTCTGTGCGCGCTGCTGTAGAACGACGGTCGAGCCGGTGAAAATTTGAGAAAACAACACAAACTCAACTTTGAAGTAATCCTGAACAACCAAATTTATATATGTTACACACGTAGGGCTAATCTTGTTACACTGTTCAGGGGAGTCTCAACAACCATCCCCAAGTACCGTTTTCTGCGAGTTTTTGGCCTTTGTTTTCACCGTGAGGGTTGCCAGGCGGTGAAAATGCCCGGATGTCCGCCCCCGAGAATATCTCAATGTCGGCTGCAACACGGGAACAAATTTTGTTGAAAGGATTGTTATGTGATATGACTGGTCATGATTTAAAAAAAAAATGCTGTACCTTTGTAGATCACTTATTTACCTTTCGATCAGAATATTCCTGATGTACTCACTAAACCTGCGCCTAGAATTAAAAATGAGAAATTCAGAAGGCACGTGATGAGATCATAATTTCCCTAAAAAATGATTATTCCAGTGTCCTGTGATTTAAACCATAAATGTGTTTTTTTCATTTCAATGTTGACAATAGAAAACCAAACCATATTCGGAAAACTGGTATTTTCCTCTATTCTTGTTGGTTTATGGTGAAGGTGCAAGTAGGCTTTAAACTGAAATCGAAGCTAAGTGCACCCTGAACGCCCGTATATTATCGATCAACACCACAAATTTATTCAAATTTATTTATTTATTTGGCATATTTCCTCATCGGATGACCCCTCCCCCGCCGTGTTCAGGGTGTTTGATATCGACAATTTGAACTACTAGTTATACGGAACCTCTATATTATCACCACAATTTCTGCAAGAAACATGTTTATATACAAAAGCAAGTTACTAGTACAAAATTTAGCTCATTGTGCGCAAGGTAATGGCCAGAGTGTCCGGGTCGGTGGGTATCACGACGGAAGGGGGGGGGGGCATTCTGCTTAAAATCTGACGTGATTCAAGGCGTGATTTTTTTAATATCTCAATTTTTATTTATTATTATTATTTTGTCATTTGTGTGTTGAAATGTTCATCGTTGTTTATCATGCCCTCTTGTGGCGTTAGCTGACTTCTTCGTCCTCTTTTGTTTTTCTTTCGGTCCACGGAAAAACGTGCTTTGGCTAGTAAGATTGAAATGGTTTGTCGTTGTGTACGTAGAGATGTATTTAGGTATCTGTAAAAAAAAAAAAATACAGATTGTCGCTCATAGAAGAGATGCACGGTCTAGAACTGATTCGCGCATCGCCTCGGCTGTCTCTCCAGTATCCATTTGTGTGTATGCTGCCCGCACCGGCAATAGTTTGACGCTACATAGTATTAGTGTTAATGGATTTCCTTGGAGCATACTTTTTCAACAACAACAAAAAAAAAAAATTTACAAAATAGTAAAGAAAATAGCATACTTCAATTTGATATAAAGTATCTTTTTTAACTTTTTTTTAATGGTAACATGTACATGTTTACGTAGAAAAGTATATATAAGTTGGTACTTTTTTATTTTGATTGTGGCAATTGAATTTGTTGTAACCACGATCCCCAGTAGGATTGCGTA